CATCATTTTCAGTGTAGCGAAGTAAAGTTAGGAAATGACAATAAAAATCTGCATCAGGGTTTGTTGTTCAAATATTGTACCAAAAACTTAAAATGTGTTTTGAGGAAAATTGAAGTTACATTTTTGACACCCTAAAAATCAACCCACATCATTTATTTTTGTGTTTTAATTTCTAAAGCAAGCTGACGTAGCATGATGCATGGAACAGTGTATGTGTCTCATTGTAACAATTTTTCTAATAGCCTCCTATTGCAAAATCAAACTATAAAACAGCACGACTAGAAGCCGCCTCATATTCTGCATGGAAACAGTAATGCTAAGCTATTCACCTCAATAACTGGGCTTATCTCTCGTGCAGACTCTCTTTAAATGAGCGTGGAGCAGCCATGCTCGCGAGTCAAGTTTGCGTGAGAAGAGATGCGTGAGAAGAGATGCGTGAACACATGCGCGGGGATTCACCCGGAAAGGAATTAAACTAAGACAGCACTACTGCTAGTTGTAAGGGTCACAAAATGGTGAAATGATCATACAGAGGGCAACATTATCATACAAATACGACAATTATCGCACATCTTGCAACTCTGGTTTGATTTGCCTCGCCTTAGGCTGTAGAAGAAATAGTTTGTCACTTTTTTTTTTTACTCTCTTTCTGGCTGAGCGTTAGATTTAAAGAGTGATACCTCTCTCCTGTCTGTCCAGTAAATATGAAGCTACAAGCAGAGGTCATAAACCCACAAATGTTCATTTTTACAGCCTAAACAAACTAAAGACACCGTTTGAATTAATGAGCTTTAAAGGTGCTGGGAGGCAGATTTTTTCCAATCTTCAGAAAGAGCCAGGTTGTTTACCCGTTTCCAGTCATTAGGCTAAGCAGACAGCGTGGCATTGAACTCTCAGCAAGAAGGCAAATAAGTGTAATTAATTAAAAGTGAACACCAATATTTTTATCTTATTTTTATATAAATTGCAATAGCTGTTGTCCATGAAACCATCTCAAAAGATTGGGTGTAAATGTCATGGAAATTACAATCATGTTTTTCTCTGAAAGTACTACAATCCGGAGACGTCTAAATGTCAGAATTGATGTCAAATGAATCAATCCGTTAAGAGACCGAGCACATATATTCTCATACAGAGCACACATATAAAGTTATGTTCCTGCATTTACATTTGGTGCACCCATAAGGCTTGGCAGCCGTAACAGCAGTGTGCCAAGCGGCTCACTTTATGTGCGCTCTAGATTGTTGCTAATTAACATGTAGACCGCTCCCCACCGTGAGTCAATTTGCACTGAAGTACATCGTGTTCTCCGGATCGCAGCATTGCACCCTTGATCGGCAGACCGTGGAAAGGGAACACGAAGCCGGTGTTGAAGATAAAAATAATCCCCTCAAGAGTGTTCTGTTCCCGTGGTTATGGCTTTATGTGGCTTGGTGTATATATGAGCAAAGTCTCTAACAAGTCTGCAAGTCAATACAAAGGCATAGATTTAGATTACCTAGATTTAAAAAAAGAAAAATGGAAACCTGGAACTCTACATTGCAAAATAAGCAAAGTGTAGACGCTCTACTGGTGTCACGTTGAAGATGATGTCACGGCTGTTTCATGCGGCGTCGCTACTGCGATCAGCAGATAATCCTGCCTTCACTGAGGGGCTACTATCCGCAGTGGGAATGGAAATAGGACCAGGTACCTAAAGTCTAGAGTCGAGAGTCGTGGAGTCCCACGCGGTGGAAGTGAGGCATAATAATAATGGAAAAGTATACAATGGAAGCCAACTGGGCGAATGTGACTAAGTGGAGAGCAGGGCCGTCCTTCAATCAGAGGATCGGCGGTTCGATCCCCGGCTCTGGCTCCGCTAGTCGCATGTTGATGTGTCCTTGAGCAAGACACTTAACCCCAAAATTTCTCCCGTAGCCGTATGCCTACAGTGTATGAATGTGATAGAATCTGAATTGTAAGTCGCTTTGAATAAAAGCGTTTGCTGAATGACTGTAATGTAATGTAACTCAATTATTAAATGGGCGGCTGCTTCTACTCAGAGGGCCTCTCAAACCAGTGCTTGAATTCAGACCAAACCCAAGAAAGTCCTTCCTCTCTAGTAAAGCTTTTTCAGTGCAGAGATTGAAACATGCTCCAGGCTCTGTGCAAACGAACATGCATGTGTGTCGAAAAGATAAGTTCAAGGCAGAACATACTCATTTCTCAACCTTTTTCATTCAGCCAATCAGCTCTTTTGAGTCTGCTAACGTGTCGACGAGATGTGGGAGATGTGTGCGCCGGCTCCTCTGCCAATCTTTGCAACATACAGTTACCCATAACACACTCGACGTTATTTAAATTATTTTCTGCAATCCGCTTATTTAAATTTGTTTGTAGAATAATTGTATTTATTTTAATTGTTAGCTAACTTTAGTTTTGAGTTTAGTTTCTTCTTGGCTTCTGTTCGATATCTTTGCCCCACTTCTGTTGCCAGTGGAGAGATGAAGATGCCAAATACATACAAAGAAATTTTTATTCCACCCACTGCGTCATTTAAATCCAGCTTTCTGCTTCTACCTGTATAACTATGTTCCCTCTTCTTTGCTCGTTACCCGTTCACATGAATTGTACTGTAAAAGTAGGTGCAGATTGTTTTTATGCCTCCGAGCCGGCAACAGCTGCGACATTATGTTTTCGGGTTGCCGTCGGGTCCATTCTCTTAAATCCAATATCCTGGATGGAATTTCTTCAGATTTGGCACTAACGTCCACCTGTACACAAGGATGAACTGATTTAGATTTTGGTGTTTAAAGGTCTTGGTCACTGTGACCTCTCGTCCGGCCCATTCTTGTGAACGCCACATCTCAGGAATGCCTCAATTAAATTTGATCAAATTTGGCCCAAACCGTCCGCTTCAACTCAAGGATGACCTGATTAGAATTTGGTGGTCAAAGGTCACTGTGACATGTTTTTGGCAATAACTGAGTCATACGTATGCTGATTAGGACTTTCAAATACGTTTCTAATGAAATGGTGTGAAAGTGATGACATTTTGAACAGACATCGACGTAAACTGCAACTTGACTGGTTGTCAGAGGCATACAGCCGCTGATCATTAACATGAAAGTGGAATGACATCACCGCTGATTGGACCTGTTTGGGAGCATCAAGACAGGTCATACTGTTCTGTCCTCTGCAATCATGGCATCAACATGAATAAGACTGGAATACAACTCTTGGGTTTTCCATAATTCACACGTTTTTTAGCTCGCAGATCCAAACCGAGTGAGTTGCAATCAAACTTTGGCCTTGTTATCCTCTCTCTGAGTGACAAAGCTGACTAGAATTGATGCTAGCTGTACATTTCTTCTGAGTGCTGGAGCCGACTGCAGACGAACAATATGCCTCCACTACTCTTGATTGGCAGGGCTGAACGCACACTCCTGTTTTGCATTTCCGCTGCTGATACCGGGTTATATGTATGATTGGCATGTATTTGTGCTAAACGGTGTTTACAGCTTGAAAAGACAAAACTAGTGTGTTCAAACATACAGGACCCTGCCTTCTCTATTCTGACTCTGACAGCTCACACACAAAAAAAGCTGTCAGTGTTAAGTAGTATATTAGTGTTCTTCATTTCCTGAAGAAAATGTGTGTTATTGCTGCATCTGCTACTGCCGCTCGCCGGCCCAGCTTCTGGAAAGGGTTCCAGCAAGAAGTGTTGTTGCACGTCTGAAGATACCACCCACAATCGGGGGTAATTAAATAACGCCCTGAAGAGATATGGCTGCGTTGTTGACAGTCATAAGGTGGAGCTATTGGTGCCATGCTTCAATATGTCGTGAACATGTTTATGGAGGAGCTGTGTACCAAGTTTCATCTTATTAAAGACAACAGAAACGTAGATTCTATTGGAACAGAAGCACCCCCCTGTTGGTAGAATTGTATCAAATGCTTTTGCATTGTGGCTGTATGTACAACATTGTATATTTGCAATTCAATTTAGCATTGAAGAGTTTTGGCCCGTTAAGTGTATGTTGGAAATCAGCAAATGAACACGGAACAAATGAACGGGATTGTAACGGGATTGTCGTCGCATTAGAAGACCGGAAACAATTGAAAAATATTCACAACTTTAGAGCAGCGCTGTACTGTGACGCACACAGAAGGAATGGTTTGGCGGGAAGTTGGATGCTGAAAAACACGTCCTGCTAAAGCACAAGCAGTCCTCGAGGTAGAGGTTTGGTGTGTAGGATTTGGGGGGGGTCTATTAGCAAAAAATATAATATAATATTCATAAATATGTTCTCATTAATGTATAATCACCTGTAAACTTTAGAATTGTTGTGTTTTCCATAGCTTGTAATGAGCGCTTTAAGTCTCGTCCGCCATGTTGCACCTCTGTTTCTACGGTATCCCAGAATGGACAAACCAAACAGTGGCTCTAGTGACAGCCTTTTGCATTTTTGAAGGTACATGAAGGCCACCGTAGTTCTCCGACATGCTTGGAAGGGAAAGGAAAGGAAAGGGCTATTCAGTTGCCTCTAAATCCGACACACTGGTGCTTTAAGATGGGAGGTGGACAAGAGAATATAATAGCCTACTAAATGATTTAACCTAGCCTACTGAATTTTGTAAGGAGCCATCCCAAAATATGCCAGTAAAATAAGAACATTAAGATTAAATTAAAATATACAAAAAAGAAATGTAAAAATCTGTTAATTGCCATGATAATGATAATTGAATGAAAAAAGAAATCATTAAGTTCATTTACGTTATTTAGTTGATTTCAGCATCATAATACTTGAGACTATCTGTACGAGACTCGTCCAACCGACCGGTTTATACCTGAGAGAAAAGTATGCAACTCTCTTACATTACTTATTCATGTAACTTAAGAAGGAAGCATACCAGTGTTTCTTAATTAAGGCCCAATGGATGAGAAACAAAGACAAGTGACTTGTTTACCATGAACATTTTGTTATTTACTCTCTTCTCCTTCTCCTCGCGTCTCTCAGGTAATGCTGGCTGCTTCCTATTGGTCATTGCTGGCCCCGGCAATCGACATGGCGGAGGATTCTGGGAAGTACGGCTCATTCGCTTTCTTGCCCGTGGCCGTGGGATTCACACTCGGGGCGGCCTTTGTCTACTTCGCTGACCTGGCCATGCCCCTGCTGGTAGGAACTCTCTCACACAAAGTATATTATGTACTGAAGACAGTGTTATGAATGCAACAGATGGAGACATAGTACTACTCCTGTTAATGTGTTATCATCCAGGGAACTAGAAGGACATCAAGACAGACAGCTACTTTATCTTCAGGGACATTCTATTGAACGGCAAAAACAGGCAACAGATTTATAGATAAACTGTAAGAAGTAATCTGTGAGAAGTCCCTGAAGGTATATAACGTCAGTAACATAGGTAAAAAAAAGTGGTGTATGCTTTTATTTAGTGTCTGGTATAAGTACAGCTTAAATTTTCAGTACAGCAGAAAATGAACCAAGGCACCGATTCTCTGAGAAGTGTGTAGAAAGGATGTTGTCTGAGGTGATTCTGAACAAGATTGTGCTTTGTTCAAATTGCCCTTCACTGATCTCTGTGTGGCATGATTGACCCTTCATTAATCCCCGCCCCCACGCTGCTACACTGTCAAGCTGTCAGAGCTACCAAAAAGATTCTCATTATGAACGTAGGTGTATCACGATGAAAAGAAAAACGATGAAGATGTCTATTATTAGTACACACAGCTGTCAAGCTGGCATCTTGTTGAAGGTTGCCTGTTCAGTCATTACATCCAGGTCAAATAAGACGATTGGACTTGCTTATTACAGTCCCGCTAATGCCACAGATAGGTCTTTTTTTTTTGTCAGAACATTTGATTCATTGATTGCTGAGAGGATGTAATGAGAATTTCAATAAAAATATCAAAATGTTTTTGAAGATTACCAACTCTACCTTGAGGGAAAAAATAATTTCCTGTAAAGCAGGGTTGTTTTTTTTTCACTGTTACAATCATTGAAAAGCTAAAGCAGCATTTTTACACATTCAGTAGACCTTTAGTAGCTGGCGTAGCATAGAAGCGCTAACTCGTAGTTGTTGAAGTGCTAACACGCTCTGCAAATGTTAGCTCCATATGTTTTTAGGTAGAAACGTAACGTTTTACAAACGTATATCTGGAACGATTGCATGACAGTCTATGGAGCAGAGCCCAATCTTTTTCCAACCCTGGTTAAAGCTGGCCGATGCTGCGCTGTGATGGGCTGTTCTGCGTTCGAGGGTGGGACTAAGCAAAAGGTCAATTGTGATAAACTTATCGTGCATATGGTGGAAAGTTGTACAGCCACACGCGTGTGCCTGTGTGGATTCTGTTGTGTACAGTTGGTACATTAGCAGTTGGCCTTGTTGTTCATGATATTGGCCTATGTGATGTGTGTGCAGCGTGAAAAGCCTAGTTGAAAAGCCCCCCCCCCCCCCAACACACACACCCCGGGCATTTCACCCACTTCCTGAAGCACACTCAGACAAGATGACACACATTCATGTAAACACACACACACAAATACAAACGGCATCCAGGTTTTTCTCTGTAATATTACCCTTTTCTTGCAGTCAACAGATGGACACACATATTGCCACACATATTACAAATCTAAATGAACTAAATCCCTAATTGGCCAAGACTTTGACTCGATTTTTGTCAGTACATTTTTTATTGTTTTGGAGACACTTTAAAAATTTTACTTTCTTTTCATGACGCGACATAGTGGATTTATATTTTCCCACCGTCCTGTTCTCTTTTCATTTCTGCCCTTTCACATTTACATAGCTTTTATTTGGGCTCAAGTGATACTTTCATTTCATTTTTTTAGAAGGTGAGGTTCAAATAAAAATTCATTTCTGATGTAAATACTAAAACAGATGTTTGTTTATGACGAAGAGATTCACATACAGACAGTAGCTTAGTCTATATAAAGTGTGCATGTGGTATGTTAAATATTCAGTGATGTTTGGGACTTGAAGTGGTTGTAGATGTGTGAGCTTTTCATTCTGCCTCACCAGGAATTTGCTTGTAATGGTCAGTTATAATGAAATAGTCGAACTTGGACCTGCCACCCCCTTTGTTGTGCTGTTGTCTCAACTGGTGAGCAATGACACAATGAAGACACGTTTGCCACTAAAAAAGATTGTGATGAAAACTGTCGACCAACAGAAAAGAGGCACAGCTCCACTGCAAGTCTGATTGGTCTGACAGGTAGTCATCAAGATATAATCCAGTCATCTCCCGCCTCTCCACTCTACTCAAAAGGGGGCTACTTGGCCGGCTGACCTCTGTGGCGTGAAACCACCCTAGCAGTTGTTCAGTAGCAGCACTCTGGTCGTCTGAGGCAGAGGGGAGCCCCTGACAATAGATCTGTTCCAGTACTGATGGCCTTTCTTGCAGCACTCAGGCTTTCCAGCCAATTGTGTCAAATGGGTTTCATTTGTCAAGGCTCAAAGCCTTCACTAAGGGCACATGCTGGTCAGAAGGATTTACAGCAGGCCAGCAGTTAGTGTGCAGTACCAGGTTCAATTAAGTCTGATGAATGAAACTGAATTAACACTTACAAGTCATTGTATATGCCAAGACAAAAAAGGCATAATTGACCAAAACAGAATATTAATCACACTGCAGACTCAAAACCCAACGGTCCTGAAATAACGATGTTGAAGCCAGTGTCTGATGTACTGTAGCAATATGTTATACACTTCGGTGTTCTTGTTCACTGTCAGACAGGGCTGTAGCCGGTGTTTTTGTTGTAACAAGTTAGAGATACCAAACTTATCGTAAATAGCTCTTTTCAGCCTGATGAACATCGCATGTTGTTGAGCAGGCATCATTTTACCTAAACCTACCTAAACCACTAAGTAAGGCTGCCTTTTCTACTCCATGAAATGAGACGTACTGTATATTGTCAGCATATATCTCTTTGCCCTTGGATCCCAAATATCATGATGCACTTTACCAGTGCTTCCCACAGGATTTTGTGAGACTGTGATGGGTGGACCTCTGACCCAGGTCCATGCTCCATGCTCCTCTGTAAGTACATGTTGTAATATTTAAAAATGCGTCAATCTGGTGCACTTTGACAGAAAAATGAAGGGGCTAGATCTATGAAGAACTTCATGCTCTAGTAAGAAATGTAACCATAAACCCACTGGTTGTACGGATAGCAATGACGACGACACGGCAAAATAACATGTCAAGAATAGCACCCTCGACTCCCAGCAGTTTTGTACATGTACACACAAGATGTTCATGGTCCCTGCAGTTCTGCAGCAGGTGTGAACGTGCTGGTCTTCAGCTTACTGAATATTACTCCTTTACGCCTGTAGCACTACTTGCTGCATCATATCATTCTTGTCGTTCATCCTTCATCATTTCAGTGTCATTTCGTTCTTTTGACTTTCCAACTACTCATCCACTTTCACCTCTGCTTTATTCCCTTATCTTGTAGTTGTTCCCACATATTCCACCTCTAGTCTTCCTCCTTCTTCTTCCTCTTCTGCCCTTTCATTCTTTGGCGCCATGGTGACAGTAGTGGACAACGTGGGGCTGTGAGCCTGTGACAAAAGCCACCGCAGAATCAACTGGGAACATAGGGGGGGGGGGGGTTCTTCCACACACAGCAGGGGGCCATCGGTGTTTGGACAGCTGCTAGTGCCACTTTTACTGGCTCCTCAACAAACAGTGGGACTGAATGAGAAGAACCACTGAGGAAGGGCAAGGTGGACAGAGAGAGAGAGCTGGGCTTGACAGGGAGAGAAGGATGGGAGCGATAAGGTAACGGACACAGGAGAGGACAAGAGAGGGAGAGCGGTTGGCAGAGAGCACAGGGGGGAGCTGAGAAAGCTTCCCGGCTTGGTGATGAAAACCAGGTAACCATGGCACTGTGTAATGGTTCCAATAAGTTTATCACCACTCCTATTTTGCTGTTTCTTCCCACACATCTCTACCCTTTCTACTTTCTACCCCTCACACTGAGGAAAATCTACAGGGCGTTAATTAACATCCTAAAATCTAAATTAAGTTTTTCGTTTTAGGACCATGTAATGCAGATTACGTTCTTATTTCTACACGCCAGCGGTGGGGGGAGAGTTTTTCTCCCCGCAATAACAAAATATGAGCTGGAGTGTTGGAAGCCATGCATCGTCACACTTGGCTCAGTAATTGTTGAGCAATTCGTTTTTAGTATTGGATAGATGAGATGGAGTTGGTACAATGCACCAAGCAATTTGTCCTCAGCATATCTGCTCTCATGGATTAACAGAAAACATCAAATTTCCCCCAGCTATAAATGTTCCATTCATAGTGTAGAATGACAGTAATTTAGCATGACAATCATAGCGACCAGCACAGTGCACCAGGTTAAGTGGGCCTCGGCACCGTGAGCAAACCAAAGCGCACCACTTATACTCGCTAAATATCGTAGGGCCGTGTTTCGATTACTCATTATATTCTCAACCAGTCTCATTACAGCCAATAGCAGTGGCACACTTCAAAGGCCCACCTAGTGGAGAGGAAAGTTCAGACCGGCTTCTCCAAGTAGGAAAATAAGATTCTTGTCTGAGCGGTGTAGGGAAGTTAGAGGCAACCAGACCTACCCAACCAAAAATAGTGGCAACCGTGCAAGATGCAGCCACCGAACTTGACAGATGTGTAGGTGAGATAAAAAATGAAGGCAGAGTGTGAAGATGGTGGTGGTCTGGGCAAAGCACCCCGGAAGTACAGTAGGGGGGTAGAAAGAGGGACAGTGACAATTTCCCTGTAAAGAAGAAAAGTTCTCAGAGTTTTGCATCGCTACTAGTAAAAGTAAAAAGCACAGCAGCAAATATCAGGACGAGGATACCCGTTTGGAAGATGAGGAGCCAAGCTGTCGCAGGTTTAAGTGGTTTCAGGAAGCAAGAACTCTATCCAGATAGAGGAAAAGATTGGGATGTTCGAGAAAGTAATGAAAGACAGGCAGAGAAGTGAAGTCATAGGGAATGTTCCAATTTCTCTTTTATCTTTTCAAACTCTCACTTGTCACTCCTCAGAGTGTTTGCTTGTTTTCGCACGGTCTCTGATTCGTCGGCTCTCACTTGAATGAAATACAGTGCTATTTTCTCAATTTCTTATCTTCCGAGTACCCCCCTA